TCAAGCCATTGAGTCTATTAATGTAGAAGAGGACTTACTTATACAAACTGCAGGAGTTACTACAATCTTGGCAACAAATCAAATGTCGCCTTTGGATAAATTTACCGTACAAGTATATTAGTCACATAGTGTAGCAATATCCTAGTATTGGTCGATGTTGGGACTTTGGGACTAGCAGTAGGCGTCCAACATTAGATGGACTATGGATATTTATAACTTCATGCTAAAAATTTTGGGAGAAAACGGCCTATAACCAGCATTGGGTTAAACTGGCCTGAAACAAAACCCTAAACCATATTTTTTTTGCAATTAGAACTCAGTTTTTTTTTCAGTTTTGCGACAGCAAGGTGGAAAGAATTAAACGCCAAACGATTAATAGAATAAGTAAGAGCGTAACATTCACAAAGCTAGCCGGTCAAGTTCAAGGCGTTCAGCATAAAAACAATATAAATATATACATACCTACGTCGACCATTATAGCAAACAAAATGGCGACTATTAATCATCACCGATTACTGATGTATTAAAAATGTAAATTTTAAGGTCAAACAGATTAAATATGTGGTTACATAATACTATGTGGCTGGACAGTTGGGTACAACGGGATTTTTATCAACGATCGACTCAGTACTAACACTAGGCAAGAAACAAGTATTAGTATTCTGCGAACAAGATACTTCCTCTCTTGAGGTTAGCTCTGAACGTCTCCATGTCCGAAGGGAGTGAACATTTTCACATTACCAGAATATGTTCACATCACTTATTGGAAGTCCAAACTTTTTATTTTTTAACATTTAAATATTTATTTGTATATTTTTATACATATTACTAAGTATGCGGATGCTTTTTAGTTTTTTGGTAAATGGTTATACTGTGTAGCAGATTTGGCTCCTATTTAATATTAATATTAAAAAAAGTCATTAACATTTTCTATTTCTTGCATATTAACATCAACAGATCATAAACTAGGCAATATTACACGACCTCCTCATTTGTTATCCTGCCGCTGTTTCGACAGCTCAGCAATTAAAGAATAATAAAAACGAATGAATGCTTCTTTCTATTCCACCTGCCATCAATTGGATGAATGTTGAAATAGCGCCAATATGAGCCATTTTGTAGTTGGCATAATGAGCGCGACGTGGCATTATTGTGGCCATAACGTCCAGTATGGTAATGTGGCGGGACCACAATGCGTACGTGACCCGCATGCGCCGACCGCCACGTCTTTGTGCTGCTCGCCAAACACCACCAGAACCTAATCTATTTGATAATGGCTCACCAACCATTCTAAGTGTACAATTTAAACTTCGGAACGGCAAAGTACACCACATGGAAGATGTAGAAGAAATTGCAATTGATGGTAGAGAGGCAGTTGCCACACAGTTATTAAAACTAGACACAATGTTAAATTCGTGAAAGCAAAGGGAGTTTGGTGCAACGTTGCTATTCCTGTAAGACTCCCTGGGAGACACGAGGTCGGTGTCGCCCAACTGGTTGCCTGGTAGGCGATAGTAGAGTTCTGTAAATGTATGCTGCTTCATATCGTGTATTAAAATAATATCAACTTACTACTGTTGCTGTTGTACATTGGCAGTTCTTCTAATTGTTGTCAATATTTTATTTAGCTTTAGCTTGTTATCTTTAGACAACTTTTGGTGAAGACACATTATGTTAGTTATCGCTTTGAGGTTTAGGCCAAGCTGGAAAATCGCCAACAAATTTGCACGGAAGAGGCCGGTGACATCTCATTTGTCTTTTTACTACTTGCGATACATAAACTAATGTCTCTATTTTATTGATCTGTAATGACAACTACTCGTACGTCGTCTGTACTTTTGTTTTCGTAATATACAGATCTATGTAAGTCAACTGTTTTCGTTTGTTCAAGAACATGATAATAAAGTAATTATTTAAAATACATTAAGATAATTTTAATTCCGTTTATCATTGCTTGTTTGTTCTGTTCTCAAATACAGGGTTAGTTGCACGTTTGTTGGCGTACGTATGTACCTATGTATCCCTACTACACTTAGTGTAGATATTAGAAAGTGTTTACTTGTTAACATTTACCGGTAAATGAGAGAGATGTAGCTACATGGCGAGCATGTTGCTGTAAAAGGGTACTTGTTTGTGCGCAGCATCTAAATAACGAAGCTGTGGGTGTGTGGTCACTGGACGCTAGCTGCCGCCCAGCTAGCACGCTGCACACTACTACCGAGTTCCAAGTGAAGATGTTCAGTGAATTTCCCGCAAGTAGTAGTTACCATAACATCCGCTGATTATTCAAGAGAAACCAAGCAACGGATCGTGTGTTCCTGGCTTCACCTAGAAGTGTTGTATTGAAGGGGCATCCTCTTGGTTATAGCTACGAACGCCATTGTCGGAATATAATAAGTGTGTGCGTCGGCAGACTGGTGGGCGCATGTATAATTACGGTATAAAGTTGAACACTCACCTTGGCCGCAGCCCGAGCAAGGCCAAGGTCGTTAAAGCGTGCCGCTCCCCCCTCTCTGCCCTCCTCTACCCCCGCGCTTCCCCCACTCCTCAGTTTGCTCCTCGAGCAGTTGCACGCGCACGCGATTTTTTTTGCAGAGTGATGTAATCTGTAATTCGGCGCGAGCGCAACATGGCCGACCGTCACGCTCATATAAACATTTCTTCAAGTAATGTTTTCAACATTCCGAATTCTGTTATTAATACACTAGCTGTAGCTTAGAGATAGTGAGCGCTGTCTACACTTATTTACTTAAGATGTAATGTGCAAATAGCCCAGATTTGGAAACTCTGCCCGATGTATTAATGTTGCCACGTATCTGTTCCGTCAGAGTTACACCTGAATTAGCGGCGGGCGGATGCCGAGCGTGGTCTGCTTAATGAAACGCGTGACGTGCGAGCTGCCGACTGCCGCCTGCCTCGCTAAACAACTTACAACAACACACATACAAAGCCGACACTGTTTATTTTCAATTTAAATAAGCTTCAACCAACTAATTAAACAGATACCTACGTACAGAAATTGAGCAATACATTCCGAAATTCATTGATTCCCTCGTACCAAGTTCGAATGAAAATATTGTTACATTCTTTACAATATTATTGTTTATATACTTATGTTGGTTGTAGTTATTGAACTATTATCCTAGCAGTCCTTACGATGCAAACGAAACCGCGGTAGAGTAATGTATCGGATCGTTTGTTTGTTCCTAGATCGGCAATGATGGTCGAGCATTAGCTGATCGGTCGTGTGCAGTGGAGTTGGTGCGGCGCAGACCGCAAGGCGCGGGCGACCGCAAGTCGTTCAGTGTGCGTTACACACGCGATTACATCCGAACACCTTCACTCAGAGACGATATGCTGACACAATGCTCATATTCTAACACCTAAATCCATATTGATGTTTAATACTAGAGTGCCACTGACTATGGAACAGCTACTGTAAAACTGCCAAACACCTTCATTACTGTTGTCACCCTAGCTCATTTGATAGCAATACTTACAAACCCCTCACAGACAGATATTAGTTATACTAGACCTAGCGAGGTCACACAGTAAACAAATTCAACTGGAATTGGTGTTAAGTATTCTTTCTTTATAAGCGACAATTAAGGTTGACTGTCTGGACTGTAGATTTCGGATGACCGTTGGGAAATAATTATTTGTTTAGATGGTAAGATGCAGCCCTAGTTATTTCCGTATGAATGGCGGCCGGGCGTACCTCTAGCGTCTTCCTGTCCGCCTTGCCAAACTACAGGCTCGCGTTAGGAGTCACCGGTACTATATTCAGCCGGAGCGGAGCTAGGAAAGTAACCAGCTAACTGAGCACTACTTTGAAAGTTGTTATTGTAACATAACACAATAAACGTTGTATTCAGACATTGTATGCTTATATTTGATGATAATTTGACATTATCACTTGTTTGTTTTCAGTATTCACTTAAGTACAATCGTTACTATGGAATAGTTTCAAGATTCATTAACTGTCTCTTAATGTGGCTGTAAACTTGTTCCTTCAGTTACGGATCCATCTTCGCGGGTCAAACATCTAATATTGATATTTACGATTTTAAAATCAATAAATTAAAGGATATTTTATAGTGTAGAGTAATCATATGGTCTGAAGTTAGGGCGGAACGAATCAGATAGTTGTTCAAAACAATAATGTCGCTTTTTATCTGGTAACTCGGACCTGCTTGCGATTTTGGTCAAAGAAAGACCGCAGTCACGCGGTGGCTAAGACACCAGGAGCTTTATTATCTGCCAGCCCACATAAGTGAGCTCCTGCTTTTCGGTAAATATGTCAATATGTGCACTAATAATACCTACTCACTTGAAGTTCTCTACTACAAACTACAATACCTATCTAAAACCTGGAGTCATCACAAGTTATTCAAGAAGTCGCTACTGCCGGGGAGAACCAGTACTCTAGCAGCACTTGGCACGTCCGCATTATAAGTGTTCAGTTTGTACTTCCAAAAACTGACTGTAAAAGTATAATTTGTGTTGCTTACATTATTTTGATTAGTATGGCAAGGCGTACCGATACTTTCAGCCAAAGATTATGACGAATCCAAATGGATGTAAATAAATGGATGATGGTGCGTTTATATATAAATCAAATAGGATTGTTGTGTTGGCTCGCCACTGCCGGCTGCCGGCTGGCATCGTACTATGTGTAGTACGCGAGTAGGTGGGGGCGGCGCATGCGTACGCCGCGCGGTTACGGAGTGCGTGGGCGCACCTTACCTACACAACTACAACTACACACACATACGTAGGACGCAATGCTACAGGGACCCGTACCTAGTGTCTTGATATGTTGAACACAATATGGTATATCTTGATATATACGCATTTCCAGTAAAGATGTATTTTTTCGTTTCTTTGCTCTAGTAACAAACATCCTATGTTTCCTTAACTGACATCTGTTGTGTAATTATTACGAAGATATCAAAATACAAATATTATGTTATGTTGATTTGTATATTCAAATAACTCACTGATATCCGTGACGTCGTTCCACTTCATGATGACGTCAGTGCAGAAATCACCTGAAACAATACAAACATAATAAAATCTGTGATTTTTCATCCAACTTTGATTACAAATTCTCTAGTTTTCAACCTGTAACAAAGGTAGGAAATACGATGATTATTATGTCATTGTAAACTACCGAGTTGGCACGAATACTCCTGTTTTCATTGTTATTCCGCGAATAGATTGAACATAGAATATGTACATCAGTCCTGCCAAGCCCTTGTCACAGTCAATCAAGCGAGTCCCATTCAGCCAAATCACTTCCAAGTGAATCAATTACTCTTCTATAAATAATATAATTAGCTGAAACTACCGCTACTTCACACTGCACTATTGAATACAACATGGAATGAAACAACTATTTTTTTATCTGTGTGAATGAGAATTTTCACAAAGGCTGCTCCTTTAATTATGAAGCATAATAGCGGAGAATTTGAAGTGAAAAAAATGAGTTGCATTGCATACAATGAGTGTTGGATGCGTTTAGCTAACTGGTGGCAAACACGCGACCGGCCGCGTCGCACTCGCGGCCCGCCGCGACTGTATACGAGTGTAGACGCACTTTTGATACCCATTCCGGTAAAAAGAAAGCGAGAAGAGAAACAGGTGACGAAACAATCCTCAACATGTAGACCTCCCTCAACACCTCATTTTACTATACAAATACACATATCCTACTCAACAACAAGTATTTAGTTTCCTTCTAGGAAAACACAGCCAAGTTCTGCGATTGAAGCATTATTATTATTATCTGTCGTTGTATCGTTTCTTCAGATTTGTATTTTGGTGTGACTGATAACTCCTATCTCCCGGTTAAGTAAGATAAACAAATACAACAAACCGTGATCTAATTTTATGCCGACGATAGTATATCTACTCACATTCAGATAAGGTTTGTATTTATGAGAAGTTAATAAAACAAATAGAAATATAGTTTTCACTCAAAGAATACGAGTGAGTCAGTGTAGCGATTTCAGGTCTTGTTGCTGCAATTTTCCGTAAAATTATATGACAAACACCTGTCTTCACTCGCATACCGTACATGTATTTTTACGATTACCTATTCAGTAACTAATGTAGATACATTGGCTACGTCATCATGATGTTTTACTATAATTGTTTATACAAAACGTGGTGATATGAGGCAGAGTTCAAGCCGCGGTTGTCCGGTCGCCTGAGACTGTTTAAACTTTCGTTCCTTATCAAAACACTTAACACACAACAAAACAACAGTGACGACATTCACCACATCTAAATTACAAACAAAGTAATCTAATCTGCAACGATCTCTTGTGTTTTTCAATATTCTGAGATAAGGAATGTGTTGTTCTGTTGTCCCTCGGTGCTGTCATTGACGTTATTGATTAATGTTTAGGTGTTTTCCACAATAATTATCAGCTTGCTTAGCTAATCCACTAATTGTAGAATGGTTCAAGTGTACTGTGTTTTATTTATCTGTCGTTACATCACGGTGTTATCGTCAAATATCTGTTTTGTACACGTTATGTTGTTAGTTTATCGTACTGTTCCTCAATGGGTTTTATACAATGTTTTATACTTGAAGATTATTTTAACCAATCATTTATAGAGAATGGCAATTACTTTAAATGTATGTTCGAAAGATATGTCAATGATTTTTATGTAATATACGATATGATAAACGTGCTTAGCAGATTTAAGATCAAGATTATCGTCATATTGGTTGAGATCACCGCCGACAATATAAGAATAAGGAGCAAGTTATCTTTATTACGGCTTGCAGTGGATCAATACAAGCTAGAAATAATAAATAACCGCGGTAAACATGTGTCGCGCCGTGGCTGCGCTCGGTCACGGCTCGGCCCGCGACCCAGTTGCCGCTCGGGGCGGCCGACGACCTCGCGGTTTCGTACTCCTTTCGCTAATTCCTTGCGAATTAATGAGTTTTAGATGCAGTGCTCTCAGCTCTGTACCACCACACGAATAGACTGAAGCGAGGCAACGCAGCGCAACATAGCAATAAACCAGATGCCAACTTTAAATGTATTTATTTATTTTATACGTTCTTAAGCTTTGTTACTATTATGAAGTTATTTTAGAAGATCAAAAATCATCTTCTAAAAATGATGGATGGCGTCCATAAAAATCCAGAAGGAGAACTCTTATATGTAGATTATGTGGCTGCACTACACTGCACTGTCCTCGTTGTACCTAGATGAAGATTACCAGCGATTTTATAAGCGATACGATGCGACATAGAATAGGACAACTAAGCATTAAAACATTTAAAAAAATATACGTGTATCGGGGTTTATAGGTGCGCATAATATGGGAGATATTAGTGTTGCTGGAGTTTTATATTTAAAATGGCGCTCGGGGCCGTGACTGACGAGTGGACCATTTGAAATGGACGTTCACCTTTGGCTCGGGACCGTCTAGCTTAACTACAAACGTGTTTTCCTAATCACGAACACCCTGGAGCGGAGTGGCAGCGGTGGGCAGCACCACGGGCCGTCGTTACGTACACAAATATACTGATTCTTGTAAAGCAGAACTTGTAAAAATAAATAATATCACTGGAAGAAAGCAGTGTCCATTAAGGTGAATGTTCCGATAGCATTTTCATACATCATTCGCAGTGTTCTGCGTACACAAGCTCTTTTTCCCAAAACAAAATTATTTTACCACTTTTCTACAAAGATATTACTTTAAGGTGAAATTTATATTTTCTATATGTATATGAAAATGAATCGCAAAATATGTTTGTAAGCGCATAGCTCAACAAATCTAGAACCAATGTTGCCTTTTTTATGTTGTTTCTGTTATTGTTAGGAGAATGTTCTTATAAGAGAAAATTTTAGAAAAGTAGAGGGGTAGCTGGAAAATCAGTACCCTTTCTTCGTTAGCGGGGTAGTTGGAGACCCGTTCGATGTAAGGGGCGGGCCGCTAGTAGTAAATAATTCTTTTTTCAGACCCATTACTCTCGGTTTAATGTCCCTTACTTGAGTTTGGCCCGTGCTCCGATAAGAGTGTTTATTGTAGTCTGGGATAATTATCGCGACATGTTGCAGCGTGTCTGTTAGAGCCGTCATCGCGTCACTCCGCTCGCAGCCGGCCGTGCTGGCTGCTGGCAATGACGACCCTACTGTTGGCTTCATTGAAACTTGGACGACCGTTTGGCGCAACGTGTCGAGATTTCGAATATAACCCGGATCTTTTTATGTGTGATTCACATTTTTTTCCCGGATCTGGTACTTTTGTGTAAAATGTACGTTGCTATGCGTTCCCATGACAGAAGAAAATACCATAATAAAAAACCTCTTCTACTAATACCCTTATGTATTATTTATTATTAGAAAACAATACTGATGATTCAAAACAAGTAAACAGCTAAATTAAAATGATTTAGTAGTCACTACTCACGACGTACATAGGTATTTGTACGCACATAACTAATGTTTTCCAGTGCATATTTAGTGCACAATGCAACGATTAAAAAAACAATAAAAATCGAAGATTATGGAACCTTATACATGTAGTTACACACTAAAATCTCATACGAACGCTTGCGATTCTTGCGAATAGGTCAACTAGAGATCGGACATCTGAGTAAAACCGAGACTGGTATCTGTACTAATTGCAAGAAGAGTATAACTTTGTATGCGAAAGTTCATCGAATTTGAACGCCATGTTTACAGAAACCGGTTTAAATTAAATAGGAATTTGATCATTAGGTACTTTTTGTCAATAGCTGATGAAGTAAATGGAAGTTTGGAGCGCTAGCGAGCTAGTCTCAGATATTTGTGATCTGGCGAGGTATTCGCAGTTGCGTGGCTGAGCGGGCGCGCGGCGTGCGTCGCGGTAACCTCCTCGACCCCGTTTCGGTTCAGAGTTGAACGGCCGCGCAGTACCTACTGTTTGCACCTCCCGCCGCCCGCGACTCCGCGGTGCAGCCCGTGCACCCAGCGCCCTCCCACCACACCATCGCGCCAGCGCCACACACTACTTGCAACCATTGCGAGCCTGCCCGCTGCCAGAACCTGCACTTTGCAGCCAACGTACAATGGTTGCCACAACAGCATCAGCCTAGTTGTCTATTTCAGATAATTAATGAAATGATAATGTACTTGAGTCGGGTTATTGATAGCAAAACAATAAGACGAGAGGCTTATTGCTGTAAACTACATTTATCGCGAGTACAAAAAAAGTTGTTAATTTAAATAAAACTTGGTAACAATAATGGTCATTACAGCGAAATGTACAAGTACAAGTCAGTACAACCCTCGGAAACAAAACAGAACAAAATTATTGCGAAAGTTAAAACTTTATAGCAACAACAAGCAAGTTTTGAATATAAATATTATTATTCAAGATGAGAGGAATCTATAATATTGTCTTAGATTGTCTCTGGGCCAGTTCACGCTGGCGACTGCTGATACGCAACAGGTTCAGAAGAGGGCAGGTCAGTATCTAAGTACATACCTAGGTGTAATGAGTACCTTGCAGTGGCGGAACTTCTACTAGAGAAATGTCAACTTAACTTTGTGGTGCCCGCCCTATAAATATCTTCAATTCTTAAATCTCCAAAAACCCAAAGTGGAATCCACGGACATGTAACTCCTCTTATGTTGCGAGAGTCCATGGCTTATTGTTTGCTTACCTTCAGGTGACCGTGACCGATAAATATTTTTAATGTGGATTTCACAAAAAAAAACTTTAGTAACATTAGTCGCTGCAGTAGCCTTATACGTGTAGTGTCAAGTGAGTAATAGCTGCGAGCTATTTAAGGACACTCGATCGAATTTTAGTTCGACGGCCTGCTCATAGTGGTCATAATATGCAACTTATGCAAGCTTCACTTAAGTTCGATTTGAACTCTGGAATGCTAACTTCCTGATGTACCGAATCAAGGAATGCATTCGTACCTAAGGAAAACGAGAAATAACTTGCAAATTTAACTTTATGGATTTAATTAAGAATGTGGAAAAAAAAGACAAGCCTAGAAGGTCTAAAAGAATACAAACAGCATCAAACT